CATGAAGTGTGATGCTGTCACATGCTTTGGACCCCTACAATTTGGTTGCGATGTTTGTGTCGATGGAAACGCGCGCTGTGCTGCATTATCCTCTGAGGAAGTCACCGAGGGCCAATCACCGCCGTCGGAGTATAATGTGTGATTTGTCACTTGCTTTGGGCTAGTTCAGTTTGGTTGCGATGTTTGTGTCGATGAAAACGCGCGCTGTGCTGCATCATCCTTTGAGGTCACTAAGGGCCAATCACCGCCGTTGCCGCACAGCACGAAACCAAAAGCGGATTATTTCGTCCGATGCATATCCATGTATATCATATGGACGGTAGAGCGTGCCTGCTTTCACTCAGCCAGTTGCAATGTCTCCCCCAAGTATGTCAAAGCACTCTCCAACCAGAGTATGCATAAGGTCATGACTGTTGCTACCCCCAACCCTAACCCTTTCTCACTACTGGTGTACCCTCCGTTCGTGCAACTGCTGTCGTGTCTACCTGTCCCTCGGAAATCCCCACGCAGGTACGTCGATTCAGTCTTTTCTTCAACCGCCGTATTGGTTTGCGGGCTTGGCGTCACCCCTCTGACCTCTGAAGTTGTCGGCCGAAGGAGATACATCCTCTCTCGCCGAAACCCGAGGGCTCTCGGTTCTTTAAACAGGGGAGACGAAAAGATCCCGCGCGTTTAAGGTTTCGCCACGTCCCGGACTACTTCCTCGCGGGACGCGGGGAAAAAGTTTACCCAAGTCTGTTGGCCCATCCGTCCACCAACCAAAGTGTCTCCCCGCCCTATGCATATGCACGCTGAGGACGCTTCCATAGGGCCGCAAGGCCAAGTGGATAGTTGAGGCACTTTAACTCGAGCTAAAAGTGTCGCCCTTTTGTACTTTTCGTTCGCCCCCCCCCATCCCTCTCTCGCGTTGCATGTGCGTGCGAAACGACGCGTTGCGCATGACGACGGACCATCCTCGGGTGGTTTCTGTGTCCGTTTTCAACACTGCTTGAACGTACAACGTGGGGTCCTCTGTTCCCGTATGGGCCCTTCCCTACGTCCCTTTGGTGTGGACTTGGCCCCTTGTCGGCGTGCCGCTTTGTGTGCCATTTCGGTGTCTTGAGGGAGCAGGGTATCCCCTCGTGCGACCAGCGCCTGATCTTCGGAGGAAGGCAGCTCGAGGATGAGCTTACGCTGGCCGACTACGACATGCAGAAGGAGTCCACCCTTCACCTGGTGCGTTTTGGTCTTGGTAGTTGGATGTTCTCGTCTGCTGTTGCGTTTTGTGCGGTGGGTTGTTGTTTCGCAATAGCTGTTTCCTGTTGTGACTATCGACGTTGTCGCGGTGGGCCATCAATCATCTGTTTTGGTCCTACCATGGTCCTTGTGGTTGTGCTGGTGCGGGGCTCCTGCGTGTCCATTGGTGTCGATTCTCAGGCCAACTCCGTGACCTGCACATGCGGTAGGTGGTTGGCGAATGTTGTTTCCTGCTGATGTTCGTGTCAGAATTGGTGTCAGCGCGGTTGATTGGTCGATCACATGTTTTGTTTTGTGGAAGAGCTATTCACTGGACAAATGCTGGACACGAACAGCGTCGATGTTTCGAGGCGACGCCGTTGATACTTGCGCTTGACGCGATGTTTCTGCTTGACGTACCATGGTATTCTTGTTTACACGTCGTTGTGAGCCGTTTTATCCCCGCCGCTTGTGAGAGCTATGATAGCTCATGATAGCGATGTCTGGGCAGATGTCGTCGCCGCCGTTGACTTTAGGGCCTCGAATTATGCACCACTTGGTCCACACTGACGACTCCACGCCACTCTCACGTGTTCTTGTTCAGCTACTGCTTTACATACTTTCCTTCACAGCACAACGGGTACCATTTTCCGTGATGTTCCATGTTTTTTTTTAGAACAAAAAATGACGCATCTACCGTCACTGCAGGTACTTCGCCTCCGCGGTGGTGGTAAGAAGCGCAAGAAGAAGACGTACACCAAGCCCAAGAAGGTTAAGCACGTGCACAAGGCGGTCAAGCTCGCGGTGCTCAAGTTCTACCGCGTGGACGACACCGGCAAGGTGCAGCGGCTGCGCAAGTCGTGCCCCAACGAAGAGTGCGGGGTGGGCGTGCGCATGGCCGTGCACAGGAACCGCTTCTACTGCGGCAAGTGCGGCCTCACGGTGAGTCTTTTTGCATGTACCATGTATGCATGCGCGCCTTTTTTCCCCTTGTTTTTTGTGTCGTCTCAGCAGAATACCGCGCCACGACTCCGCTCTGGTGATGACCCTCGTTTTTCTTAGTGTCGAACCCGCCGTTCCCTTCCGTATGCAGCAGAAGCGCTAAATATCTCCCTTTTTTTTTCACGTGCCGTCTTTGTATCGACCCTTGCTTCCTCTCTTTGTTTGACCAGTACGTCGTGACCGAAACCAAGGACGCCCCTTAAGCTGTCGGAAGACAGGCATGCATTCCCGAAGAAGGCTCCTCAGGGGGGCGACCACGGCTTGCTGCAGATAGCCATCGCGTTGAGTTGACTTGGAAGAGAGGTGGTCGTTGGTTGTGTCATTGCTGTCACTTCTTCTCTGGTGGGGACGCAAGGGGAGCGGGGAGGGGGCGCTTTTTTCCGGAGGCGATGTTGCGTTCGTTCGGCTCGGATGAGACGTCGTCTACGAAAGATCAAACTACAAAAAAAGTGAACATTTGTCAAGAAACCGCGCCTGGCCCAGCGGGGGCGAGGAATATGCCGTGCCTCAACACACACAGGAGGGTACCCCCACAATCAGGAGAAACCTTACATCTCCCCGCACACGTCGTGTCTAAAACTTCCATCCCACACTTCGCGCACGAAAATGCGACTAAGGACAAGGGAGTCCCGACATCCGTTATTTCTCATGATCTGTTAAGCTTGGCACCAAGCTGGAGTTTGCCACGTCCGCGCGACAAAAATGTGTCATGCGTGTTGAAGAAGACAGCGGTGCATTTTCCACGGCCACGGGAAATATGCGTCAAAGGCTGTAACAACGTTTTTGGGGTATACAGGGATGGCTGAACAACCCTCTGATACCCTCGGGCAAAGAACAATTGCTGTCCTACCTGCCGGAACAAGCACTGGTAGCATGCACAGCAGTGGGTCAGGGACCCAATTACAAATGTAACCTTGACTGCCACCACAGGGAGTACATATTTTTTTTCTCCGACCATCGGATTCTGTCGTCTGCCCCCCTGGCCCCTATCCTCCACTTCTACCAGCTAGATGACCCCACCGGGGTCACATAGGAGGGGGGGGGCTGGAGAACCCCCCTCCTACGGTCCATGCCTGAGGTATTATTATCTCGAGAAGGGTACAGCAATCCCTCCCCTCGCGACTTACGAAGTCGATTATTGTTTACTATCAATGAACTTTGCAACGCGTCGCTTTCATCCTTTTTAGCCCAGGATTTATTCAGTGAGAAAATATGTACGTCGCCAAATCAAGACATAAATAGATAGCCGCCGGCCACAGGATTCTTGACTCTTATACCAAAACCCCCGAGGCAAGCACCCTACACCCTTTACAGGTCCGTCGTGCAGTACATTTTGGAAAAAGTGGTCTGGCGCTGTTGTTCACTGCCTTTCGACCTATCAATCACCTCATGCAAGCGCACTCGCGCATACATGAGCGCGTCGAAACTTTATCAGACATTAAGCACACCCAGCTACCCTCCCCTCCGTCGTCGTTGTAGGGACCGACCAGACCGCACACTGAAAAGAGCGGTCTGGTCGACCGATCTCCGAATATCGTCGGGCGAATCTACCGAAAACAACTAAAACTCGTTGTGTCATGTTAAGAAAAAAAAAAACGGAGAACGCGGCGCGTTTGTCTGTGGTTGATGTGTGACAAGTAGTGCACAAACAGCCGACCTCCAACCTCTTTGCCGCGACGAAGCCGCCCATTACCCCGCCCACACTCGTCGACACGTGCTGTGTCTGTCTCTCAGTCTAGCGTTCCTTCCATGAACGCTCCGTTACGTCAACTTTCGTTGTGTTTGCGTGCACGAGAGAGTATCTCTCCCAAGCCGTTTCGCTCTTCACGGTGTGGCAAGCACATCATCACGCTCATGTGCATGTCGCTCAAAGACCCACAGCAGTGATGGTAGCAGAGCCAACAAAGTTGGTCAATTTCCTCACCAAAGGTACACCGACACGTAGGTTCGTAGCGTACTTTCGGCAGAACTCCCTACCGTTGCTCTACATCGCGGTCGGTTCTTCGGGCCTGAGGCAAGCTATGTATCAAGACAAGAGACCATCTTCCACGCCGCCCGTTGGCAGCCGCAGAGTAGTGCGTTTGGTCATTGGATACGACTGGGTCGGGGCGAAGCACAAGGGCGAGCGAAGCTACAGCCATGCCTACCCAAAGCGTAAAGAACAAAAAGGTCGTGACCTCTAGTTTTGAACGAAGCTTGCATGTGCATCATGTGCGACGCAACGAAGAAAGTCAGTCAAGTGTGTGATTGTGCTTGTCTGCGCCTGCCTGTAGCTATTTAGACTAGTCTACCTATCTATGCAAGCGTGTTCGTGCGAATGCTGCGACGTTCGGTGTTACGGTAGAACACGGTGTTCGAACCTTGCAGCAATAGCACAGCTCTCACGGAGCCATAGAGAACATGATGATATGCACATACCCTTTGTATGTACTGCCCTCAAACAGATTACGGAGTAATACTTGCGCGAAGCGGTATAACGACCGATCATCAAGGTAGACACCCCGACCAGATATACTACTTGAACAGATTATGTCTATTTAACGGAATAAAAGACAACAGCCACTGCTTCAACCTGTAACCGACTATTGTTTGATACCAATGTAACGAAGATTGGTGGGAATCGAGAAACGCTACGACCTCGTCGCCTCCTCGCACATAAAACAGTGATCGCCACGGCGCTGACAGACAGAGACGAGGAGAGAAGCGCATAAGAGAGAAGCGCAACAGCATTCATTATACCCCGTCGCGTGTACCTGCTGCACTGTACCAAACCAGGAATTGTCATGGCGGCTTATCAAGACCCGTGGGCACTAAATCTCGTGGTAGACGAACTGGGCCATCCCGGGCAAGACATGACGAGGCAGACGCCTGGAGATTCCGGCCTCCAGGACCCACACATGGGACCAACAGGCGCTACTGCTCCTTTGGTGGCTGCCAGTGTTGGCCTCGGGCTCTCGTTTAATGAATTCACGGACAACGGAGACCCGGAAATATCGGTGAGTTTCTTCGCATAGCGTAATGCCGGGTACGCACTGTAGTCTACGTATCGCATTTGTTTGTTGTACAAAATATTTTTATCAAGCACGTAGTCTACATGTAGGACAGTTTCACGAAAAGCTGTAGTTGAGAAAATTGCTGTGGTTGCCTCGCCATCTCTTCTGTCGTGCAAATGGTCGTGTAAGTTGCCGTCGCGACGGTTGATAAACTTCCATGCGCTCATATTCCTAGTCGCGGCCAACAATAAGGTATTCTGCGTTTCATGAGGCAGCCATTCTTCATGTACCCTTGATGTTGAAAATACTTCTGACACACATGTTTCGGCATTGTGCGCCGTAGCACGCCGGACGGAACCCCCTTCCGGTCTACGTGACAGATAGATGAAGAGGTTGACCTTTTAGAGTGTATTTCAGCCGCTGCGAACACAAAAGGTGGAATGTATCTAATCGTCATCTTTGTTTCACGTGCTCAAACTCGTGCCACAAAATGCGTCTTCTCACGTATGAGTTCCTGCTTCATTTGCTTCACGGTACTAGTGACTTACAGCACGAGCCCTCTCAAATAGGAGTGAGTATGAATAACGCGCTCAATCTGCTTATCACCAACCGTCTGTCGAAAACCCAGCCAACAAAAATCCACTCCCTTTCCTGTGCTCCTGCCGGCGCGCCAGATCAGCAACGACCGCGTCTCTCAGGGATGGGCCGACAAACTGTACGAGCACCAACCGCTCCCAGAATCTAGTCTCCCCACGTCATTGATTTACCCATCGACCTTGGGAGAACCACCTACCATGAGAACGGCAGGAACCACAATCGTGGAAGATCTGATGATGGCGTCCGCTGCTGCTACTACAACCGCCGCTGACGATTCGTCAAAGAAAGGAAGAGTCAACACGAGGCCGTCGGCGGCCCTCGCTACTTCCGCGTCGTCCGTTGGGAACGTGACTAACAGGCTTTTGGCGGATGCTCGTTCTGCTGCTGATGGTGATGCCGTTGGGCCTGCTGTCACTGCCGAGCAGCCAGGCTTGCTCGCGGCGTGCCGCACCACCAGGCAGGGGTCTGCTTCCTCCACTATCAAGGCATCGACGAACAAGCCGACCACGCCCGACTGCGCGGAGAGGAAGGAACCGGTGCCCAAGCGGCGAAAATTGCACGCTTCTGCTGAACCTGTAGCGGCGGATGTGGCGGCGGCGGCGACGACGGTGGCGAAGGCCGCGGCCACGGCAGGTTCCTTTTCTTCTTTCAAGGTCGAGGCGGCGACTTCGATGATCGCAGCGAGAACGATAACTCCAGATGGTCCTTTTTCGGCAACATCACTGTCATCGGCGGCGGCTGGAACAAGTGTGGAGAGAGGGCGGGGGCTACTTTCGAACACTTCGGTGTCGGCGGGCGCGGGAGGGACGGGCGGCAGGGGGTGGCGGAAGCAAGGAGGCGGCGGGGCACGCGGGGCCGTGCCCGCCAAGACCGCCGCGGCTAGCATTCCGGAGTTTGACATCTACGGCTTCAACGACACGTCCCACCAGGCGCAGTACGAGCGGATGACCTTCCTTGAGCTCGCGAAGGCCGACATGGAGCGCGTCAACCTGGAGCGCGACTTCCTGGACAAGAACGCCCGCTTCGACAACGCAAAGGTCGCCCACGCCATGGTCCACGAGCGGTGGGCGAGGGCGAGAGCGGTCTTCGAGGGGACGTCCAGGGCGGCCAGCGTCTACTTCGTGGCGGAGCAGGAGGCGAAAAAGAGGCACGAGGCGGCCTGCCGCGACAAGCGGGTCGCGGAGGCGAGGGTGACCGAGGCCGAGGAGAGATCGGCGCTCACCCGGGCGGTTGTCGAGGAGGCCGTGAAGACGCTCGACACCAAACGTGCGGCCAAGAGGCAGGCGGAGGCGGCCCTCCAGCAGGCTTTTGAGGCCAACGAAGTGGCCGAGAAGAGGGCAAAGGCGCCGGCGTCCGGAACGAGCGGCGCCAAAGGCGGCGACAACGGCTGCGGCGGCGGTGGATTTTCTGGCGAGGGATCTTTGTCGAACAATCGGAAACGCGACGTCGACGGAACCCTGCCGCCATCTACTGCGGTGACAAGAGCGATCAACAAACGTGGCGACGTCCAGCAACATGTTACGGCCAAGGGTCTGGGCAGTGTCGGTGATGGCGACACGGAGAAAGAGGCCACTGCCGAGGAAGGACAACCCGCGGCAAAGCTCCCTGCGATGATGGGCGTCAACCCCCTGTCCGACGAGCAAGAGCGACAGTTTTACGTGAGGGGACTCGAGATCGAGCGCCAGATCAGGGCCAGAGTGGCGTCATCGGCCGACAACAGCGTCGCAGCCAAGCAGGAAACACCGGCCACCACCACCACCACCACCGAAGCGGGAGAGCTAGCGTTTTTCGCGGCTGCCGACACCACCACGTTACAGCCACAAGCCGCGACCACCACGGCCACCGCCGCCCTCGAGCTCGCGCTTGAGGCGGTCGATTCCGAGCTCGCCGCCGCCGAGGGGAGCATGAAGACCGCCGCCGTCTCCGCGGGGCGTGCGACCGCCGAGCTTGACTCGGTCAGGCTCGCCCCCGACCTGCAGGGGGCCGTCCGGGCGGTGGCCGAGACCGCCGACGCCCACCGGGACGCTCTGGACAAGGCCGGGCTGTACGTGTCCTGGGTGAACAACGAGGTGCTCGCGCAGAGGGGCCTGCGGGCCTGGTCCGACAAGCTCTTGCGCGCCGCCGTGCTCGCCTGGGACGCCAGGGAGAAGGCCCGAAAGGCACTCAACAGGGCCGGGGAGAGGATGTCGAGGGCGGTGTGCCTCCTGCAGGGGTTCCCGCGGGGCAAACAGATGAACGTGTCCCGCCATGCCCTTTTCAAGGCCGTCGTGGAGAACCAGCACCAGCTTTGCCAGCTCAACGCTCTGAAGCGGGAGGAGGAGGAAGAAGCTGCGTTGGTTGGATGAACGGGCGACGGGGGGCGAGGGGGGGGGGGGGGGGGG